CCTTGACTGGCCCTCCCCCCCGCCCGTCCCGCGGGGCGTAGAGCCGTGGCTGGTGCTCGTGCTCAGGGGCCCGAAGACTGGGGTCGGCGCTGGGCTGGGCTTTTGTGACCGGCTGGTGGGAACTGCCAGCCCGATCTCTGCTTTTGTGAGTTCTAGTCCCGTCTTAGGCATGAAAGCCGTCTGGGTGGGCCAGTCCTGCTGTCTCAGCCCAGCCCACCTCACAGGGTTGTTGTTCTGGGGAGAATAGGAGGGGGAAGGAGTATTAGGTATGTTCACCGCCTTGAGTTATCAAAATAATAAAGGCAGGATAAAAAAAAATCTAAAATCTAAATCTTTTCCTTCTCCTGGTTTTAGTTTTTGAAGAAATGCCAGCCCCAGAGGGCCCTGTGGGCAGTGCTGTCCTCTAACCCCACAGACCCACCTCCTCATTCCATCTCTTCTCCCATGTTCCTGGGAGTGCCCAGCTAAGTTCACAGGTTTACCTGCAAATATTTGCCCAGTGTCCTTTGTTGAGGTTATTTACCCTGGGCGGGCTTGCTCTTGGCACATGCCTGTCAGGAGCAACTGACCCTCTGCCCTCATCCTATGGTTCCCTTGGCCAGACCCGTCCCCCCAGGCCAGCCCACCACTTGCCAGAGCACTCCTGCATGATGGGCGCTGGCATAGATGCTGCCCTTGGGTGTGCCAAGCCCCACCCCCTCAGCATCCTCAAAGGCCAGGGTGGCATTGCTGGGTGCCACCTCTCCCTCTGGCAATCTTTGTTTGGAGCTCTGTGCTTCAATCCTGCCGTGGTGCTGAGCAACAAGAAAGGCCATGCTTGTTCCTGGTTCCTTGGCCTGGAGGTGCCTGGACCTGCTTTCCCTCCGTGGCTGTCTCTCTGCGAGGACCAATGCCAGGAGAAGGAGGGTGACTCCCGCAGCCTTCTGCTTCTGGGTGGGACTGCTCCTGATCAGCACTGCCAGTAAGGATTTGGGGAAGGGGGAGGACCAGTTTGTGAGCACTCTGGAGGAGCCCAGGCAGCCTAGCTTGTCTCCCGCAAGTGGAAGCACCCGTCCATTCAACCATTCGGGCCCTAGATGGGGGCTTTCCTTGCCCCCTTTCTTATTCACAGGCTGCATCTGGGAGGTCACCTATTTCAGGGGGCTGTTGAGGACAGTGGTCTCAAAGCCAGGCTAATCGCAAGGATGGAAATGGAGAATAACGATGTTAGGCATTAGGTGTAAACTAATTCCAGTTGCATGTCGCTTCCCTTTCTCTGCTTACTCTTTCTTTCTGCACTTTGCAAAACGTTACTGGGTCAGTGTGGAGGGTCTTTCCTTGGAACTTCTTGGACTTCAAGCTGTGGGAAGCCTGACTGGCACGCTTGGTGGCCTTCCTGCTCCTTCTGTCCAGGGCCTGGACATCCCTCCTGGTCACCTCTGCTGATGGTGGAATCACCTGGGATGAAAAAATCAGAAGGAGCTGATAACACCTTTGGAGTCCTTGGGGTTCTCTGAGCTGGGTTCCTTTTTTATTATAACAAAGGTGTCATCTACATACCGGATCCATACTCTGGGTTGTATGCGTGGTAGTGCTATAGCTTCTAGGCGTTGCATTACAGTCTCCGCAATGAGTCCTGACAGTGGTGATCCCACGGGTGTGCCTCTGATTTCTTGGTATATTTGTCCACCAAACTGAAAACAGGTAGTGAGGCAGAGGTTGATGAGGTCCACGATTCTGGGTATTTCGATCTTGGTGTATTTGGTTAGGTTGGGTGTGTTGTGTAGTACTGCTGACACGGATTCTTTCACTAGTTCTGGGTTCATGGATGTAAAGAGTGCTGTGACATCAAATGAGT